AATTTATCGTTTAAAAATGGGACTAAACTAATTTGGGGAGACGAAATTATGAGCTCTAAAGCAATTTGTAATCGAATTAATAACATCCCAGTTTTTAATGATAGTTCAATAATGAATATGTTTATAGAATACATGGTAGGTCATGGACGGTCTTTAGAGGCTTTGGGAGAAGCAGTTGTAGATAAAGATATGACAAAGTCAATTATATTGATCTAATAAGCAATGTGTGATTAAATCTTACATATAATTATTCGGGTTGGTTGACAAAAACAGCTTATTTAAGACCTATCTTCCGCATTATTCTGGCACATAAATCTGTTAACAAAGATCAAACCATCTTTGAACTTGATGGACAAAAAATAAATGTAGATGATGTAATACAGTTTGGACTAGTTCGATTTGAGAGTTACGATCATAACCGTGTTGTTGGTTATCTATTATGTCCGTACATTTGGCTATGGATCATGGCTCATGCATACCACGAAAATGTAAATGATCCATTTTTAAGGAGTTGGGATTGTTCCTACTACAATGAAGTACTCAGTGAATCGGGAGAGCCTAGTATTCCACCTGGTTGCCAATACTGGCAACATTTTGTCGCTCAATTTAAATCGAATATCTATAATTATGATCAGCGGATTGATCTTAGTGTCATTCATAATGGTGCCACTCATAACTTTGGCCAAGTTTTCATATCGAATCGACAACTTACATTATCAAAATCAATTGAAAGAGTTAACACCAAGTCTAAAGGTTATAGGAATCAAAATGCAAATATATTATGTCAGAAAGGACGAGTCGATCTACAATGCGAGTCATATTATAATCATTGCATCTGCTGCTAAATTTGTAGATAGCTTTTGTTCAATATATATGGCAGAGACTAAAACAATTACAAACGGAGACACATCAGTGCAAATTATTGAGGGAACAAAGCATTTCTCAAAAGGTTTTGAAGAAGAATATAACAAAGCAACTAGTTCAGGAGATATTTTCATCTTTTACACCTCAGCATCCTGCCAGAATCTTGAACTCCAACCAATGTCTGCAATCGTTAATAAAGAATGCTGGAAAGAATATTTCGGTCCTTTTTCTGGAAGATGTTATAATTATGCCATGGGACCACCAGATATTAATAAAGCGACCTTCACTCAGCTGACTGGATTTGAGAAGATTGCAAAAAAACGTGCTAGAATTATCATGGAAGAACGAGTTCGTGTCGAATTTTTTGATATTAATTATTGTGAAAGGAGAACAAAAATTCCGCGTCAATATATTGAGCCTTTTTTTCAAAAGAGTAAAGCATTTTATCATGATTAATATTGTTATATTGTATGTGGGAACTTTCCTTTTTATCTTGAGAAATATCAATAATTATATTATATGTATGAAAACGAAATTGTTATTTGATTTTTATAATTAGTTTTATTTTATTAATAAAGCATTATGACTCTGCTAATATAATAGTATGTAATTGTATGTAGTGAATAACATTTTTTTTTTTTACTTTCGCAATTAAAACATTATTAATGAGATAAATTGTAGCGGCGAGAAGCATTAATAAGTAAAAGCGGAATTTCTTAAACAAATAAATAGTATAGGAATGAAATATGCGTGTGGAAATTGGATAATTTACAAAATAGCGAAAAAATAAAATTTAGAGATTGGACATATGGGCATTTTGTAGTAGTATAAAATTTACGTGACTTTGGCCCGCATTTACGACGACATTAAGAAATTAACCACGTGATGAATAAATATGTTAAAGACAAATTAAATGAATGATGTCGGGACGATACTGGCGGAAGACAAAAAATCCACCTCCACGTGATCATAAAGTATTAGTCACCCCGCGTAACACCCTCGGCATCGCGTTTTCAATTTTCATAAGTATTCTGGGAACTTAGAATTTTTCGGGGTGCGAAATCATATTTGTCACCATTTATTCGTCACATGATTAATTTCTTGATGCTGAAACTACCCCAGTATCGCCATAAAAAATTCACTACCACGTGACATCTTGTCCCGCATTACAGCATTAAGTGTGTTGTCATGAAATTAAGTGTGGCTCTAATGTGATGAATAAGGTAGTGATGAATATGATTTTGCGTAGTGTAAAAAAAACTAAGTTCCCATAATACTTATAAAAATGAAAGAAAGGAAGGGTGTGATGTAGTATTTTACTATATTCACGTGGTAGTGAATTTTTTATGGCGATACTGGGGAAAATTAATGCCGACCAAAAGTCACGTAATTTTTTGTTATAAATGGAGAAAACTATAAAATAAAAATAAAATCCAGATTAACATTCTCTTTGTACTGTGCCCATATAAAAATCTTCGCATTGTCGTAAATTTGAAGGACCGAATGGGTCAAGCATTTCTTTTAATTATAATAATCATTATTATTTGGGTTCATTTTGAACTTGAAGTACGATATAGGAATCGATTCAAATAAGTGGAACCGATTAATTGTGATTAATAAATTCTCGAATTTCACTCATTTAATTGTAGCGATTTTTTTATGATCACAAATTGGACGTTAAAAATATTTTATTAATAAGATTTATTTATCATAATAAAATTTTTTGGATTTTCTACAAGATCATGTAATTTCTAATAATATTTGGGAATTCATCCTTTATTGGTGTAGCAACTTATCGTTATTTTTTTTTACTTCATTTCGGGTGTCGAACAAGAAACTGATTTTTTTGGTCTCATTTCCTACGTCAAATCGGCTAAACTGAAAGCGTAAATTATAATTTTTGGATTATGCAGTGTAACCTGAAATAATGTAACACAAATTAAAATTTTCTTTTAAAAAAAATTCTCGCTTTTTTAACTTTTAAACATAAATATTTTTTTTTTTGAGATAGCTATATAAAAAATGCCTCGTCAACTCCCATCTGACTGTTTAAATGAAATTTTGAATATTTGAAAGATGAAACGGATTTACGTTCATGCTTACTAGTTAATCGTCAATGGTGCGAGGTAACCGTTCGAATTTTATGGAGAAATATTCAAAATTATAACATTTTAATCTCTTGTCTTCCTGAAGAATCTAAAGAAACTTATGCAAGAATGGTATTATCATAACTTCAAAACCTCCATTATTTAATTATATAACTTTCATCAAAAGTCTATCGATCGGTAAAATTCTCAACTTTCTTAAAGATCAACCCAACGATAATAAGAATTTCGTAGTAACACGAGAAATATTTAAAATGATCATGGGTCAGATTACTTTGAAAAAGCTAGAATTTTATTCTAGCTTAATCATTCCAAACATACCGATCATCACATACCCTGGAGCGATAGATTGTTTAAGGAACCTTTCGGAATTTGGCTGTAGTTCGAATATCGATTCAGAAATTTTCTATCAGATGTCACAAATCTGCCATAATTTAGAATCACTAAACCTAACATTTGAAAAAGTGATCTCAAATGGGTTAACAGACCTGATTTCTGTTCAAAAAAATTTAACATACTTGTACGTATTGTTTGAAAATTATGATTCGTGGAGAGTACCTCCTCCATTAAAAAGCCTTAATGATACTTTAATCAAATTACGCATGGATGGAAGTATTTATATCCCATTGTCATTTATTTCTAAACTCTCAAATTTACGAGAAATTTTCTTATCAAGTCGTATCGAAACTTTTGTAGAATTGGAATACATTACCCTTCCAAATTTGAAAAGCTTAAAATTTGGTTATGAAGTTTTACCTAATGAAACTTTATTTAAATTCATGGAGAATTGTGGGAAAAATTTGTGGGAACTTGATCTTAATAATACCAATGACAATTCATTAAATTTGGCTATAGCCAAATTTTGTCCAAATCTGAAATCATTACATACTCTCATTAAGGATGATGAAGCAGAAACATTGAGATTAATTTTAGACAGTTGTGAACAATTGGAAAGCATTTACCTTTGATGTGGTGGCGAGTATTTAAATGCAGGCAAATTATTAGAAATGATCGTTGATCATTCACCTAAAAATTTTCACGAATTAAAAATGGAAAGTATGGGATTGGATTTTTTTCGAATAACATTAAAGACCGTATTTAGTAGATGGGCGAACCGTACACCACAATATCCACTTTCTTTGATTATTATTGGAATTGCCGATATTCAAAGGACCAATAGGAGAGTAATTAAAAAATTTCGAAAGTTGGGTATTATTAAATTTGAAATTATTAACTGGTATTTATAACCTTGCTGTAAAATTTCGAATCCAGGTCTTGACTCAAACTTTTTTTATATATTTTATTTTTTCCAAAAAATTAGCTACATACAATTCATAACTTTTCAACATGTAATCTGTAGAAATTCTGAATAGATATGTTTATTTAATACATTCATCAAATTCTGCACGTCTTAAGGCTTTGTGAATAAATAATAAACAAAATAAAAATTAGCAAATTAACTCGCATAACTAACAAATGTATGGTACAAAACTTTTCCGCAGTAATCTTATAACAAACAATAGTTTGCAAAGAAAAAGAATTTGAAAATTCTTTCTTTGTGGTAAGGCCTGCAACGGGTCGGCAAATTATCAGTTTAGGGTTTTCCGGTCCGGGCTTCAAATTTGGACTTTACTTTGTGGTAATCAATAGCCGCACGCAACAAACAAATAAATATTCATTTTTTGAAATGGTAAAACAAGTCTCATTTTTTAAAAGTATTTATCAATGGATATAGTTGTTAAATTATACATCGATTCTCATTATAATTCTACACGCAAAACCGACCTTTCTCTAAACTTTGTCGAACTTAAATTTTGTTATCCGACGAGCGCATTTTCATTATTTAATTATTTTTAATATTTCTTATTGTACGTGAGCGTATTATAAGACCTTGTATTCAGACCTTGAGTCGAACAGAGTTACTGTAATAAAAAGTCTTTGTTATATACTTAAATAGGGATGTTAAGCGGTCCTTAATCGGTCCTTACCAGTGATGCCAATTGACCAGGTCATTTGCCATTTAATGTTGAAATGACCCAAATGACACTAAGTTTTTACTAAATTTATCAAAAAATTTACTTGAATGTTTAGATGATAATGAATATCATTTAAAGTTGAAAAGGATCCACATATAAAAGTTTTTTCGTGCTTATATTATTATCGTTCTCCTTATTTGACAAAAATTTAAATTGATATATCAAACAATTTTTAAGTATGATTCTTTCTTAGAACTTCAAAAGTATTGTACAAACTTAATGTCTAATGATCCAGTAAAAACATTTAAGTACTTTGTTTTTACTTTGATTTCAGAAAATCTTTGGTTACTCTAACTCAAAATGAAATTCTTACAATGGATAATGTTCAAGTTTGGAAAAATGCTCAAAATCTGAAAATTTCTTCAGATCCTTCTAGTTATTCAAAAAGATGATTTCAATGCTTAAAGAATTTCTTTACGACAATGCATTCATTTATTTGATTCTATAATTTTAGTTTCAGTGAATTTCTACACAAAGTTCCACCATTAAAGAAAGTATTACCAAGGGAATTATATGCAAATAAATGTTTCTTAGACAATGATTATATATCAAGAAATAAGTTAAAATATTAGATAACTAAAAAATTAGCTTGAATATTGATTTAAACATTATTATATATAACATATATGCTCAATTAACTTCCAAATGGATTAATCAAATTATAATAAAAATGATAAATATATAACTCTGCTATAAAAAGTGGATTAATTATTAATCCATTATATAGTAAAAACAGATTTCAAAATATCTGCTTGTAAACAAGGTTACTGTAAAATAAAGAAGCAATCAAAAAAACTAAAGATTTTTTTTTGTATAAAAGAATCTTTTAGACATAAAGTTTTTTACTTACACAATTTTAATATATAAATTTAATATTCCCTTCTTTTAAATATCCTTTTTTTATTAATTTAAATGAAATTTCAATTGTAACATAAATATATATATTAAATCTTAAAATAATTGATGGCAGATAATTTTTAAAAATCTTTAAATATTCATTATTTATATGAATATATAGGAGAATTTCTAGAATTCTAAGAACTTTTTGATTAAAATTAAGAGCTTAATGCATTTTAATATAAGAATATCAAAAATTAAAATGCAATAAAAATCTTGAATATATTAAAAAATTCTGAAATTTAATTTTTCTAGCAATTAACCTATATAAGAAGTTTGCTATTATATGGATTTTTTACTATGATTTAAGAGCAATGCTTCTATATAATGAAAAGATTTTTTAATACTAAAAAATCAAAATCAAAATATATAAATATATTTTTTAGTATGTATTATTTCAGACAAATAGCTATATTTTAGTTTAAGAAAGCAAACTTAGTATGTTAAAGAATTTGATAATGATGTAATTGACTGAAATTAATTTTTTTGAAGTTAGAATTAAGATAATTTTCTGATTTCTAAAATTGAAATTCAAAGACTTTTTTGACTATCTGAATTACTTTAGATAACTTATAAAAATCTTTCTTTACTACTTTATATTATATATTTATATTTAGCATGTTATTTTATTTTTAGCTGAATTATTATAAATAGAAGTTTTATGTATTATATAAAATTTATTCATGCAAGAGAATTAAAATAAATTATATTTCAATTTATTGCAATTGGTAACTAATTTTCTGCAAGTTTGAAGGTTTATTTGATAAATTACAATTAAATATATATTTTAAAAAAAATTAAAAGTGCTCATATAAGAAATATACAGTAAGGTATCAAAATTTACCAGGTACTTAAAATTAGAAAATTGACAGAAAAATTTCTTTTAAATTAAACTATTTATCTTATTAATTAAATCAAATTTATGAAATAAGAAAAATGCGTATTATAATAAAATACATATACATTTAAGTTTTATAGATATCTGATCAGTAGTAAAATTTATAATATATATTTAATACAACATTTTCATACATACAAGAATTTAGTTATAATAAAATATTGAATTTTTTAGCAATAATCTTTTATATTTCATTAATTTAATTCGTTTATTGTATTTAAAAATATAATTTCTTTAAATAAGTTTTAATTATTTGCATTTATACATGTGGAGATCAAATCAATATAGTTACAAGTCACGTGAAATGTTAATTTTTTTTAGAAAATTTAAACTTTATCAATTTAACAATCTTCACAAATATAAATGTAATTTGTATAAAATTTTAAGGATATAAATTTATTAATACGAAGAATAAGTTTAATTAATAAATAAAAATAGATTACTACTTAAAAATTTTATGTTTAATAATAACTGAAAACTTATAATTAATACACGAAAAGGTTACATAAAATACTGAATTAAAATTATAACCAATTGGATATTTATAAAAATTTAATATATATGCATTTCGTTAAGATGTATAACTTAACTTATTGCATCAAAGGTGATTTAAATAATAAAATAAAAAGTTTAATTTGAAATAGCAACTTTTGTTGATTTTTTAATTTTTAAGTGCCTGGTAACTTTTTGATATTCCACTGTAACTCTTTAAAAAAAACTTTTTAAATTTAGTTTTTAAATATAATTGGAATTTTATATCATAAAATTATAATTTTTTTCACATCTTTCAAATTTTTAATTCTATTAAAGAGTAATGTTAACTCCACGAAAAAATAAAGTTGCTTGTTTAAATACGCAATTATTTTATGTAACCTAACCTATATTTGAAACAAGTATTTATATTTAAACATCTTTCTAAGTTCGAAAATTAAAAATCCGAAATTTTTTTCAAAATGAGATTTTGAGAGATAAACAATTTTACTTAAATGGTGGAAATTAGAAAAGAAAAGCAAATAGCAAAGAGACACATTAAATAGTTTTTTCAACTGTAAACTTTGTTGTCACACTTTTTGATTGGCCAAATTTTATTTAAAGTTAAACCTATTTGGATTTGTTTAAAAAATTCTTGGTTAATTGTGCATTACTTTCCACATTGACATTTAATGATAAATCTTTTTCCAATGACAACAATTTCTTTGCTTTAAAATTCATTTCGCAAATATTTTTATATAGAAATTTAGTTATGGTTTTATTAAAATTTAAATCGAAATAACAATTTCTGCGGATATTGTCGGAGTACATTTTTTTGACGAAATGGCTCTTAATATTAAATTCGAAGGCTTCCTTTGATATTAAAGTAGCTAAGAAATATCTGAAAATTTAAATTAAATCTAAAGTCGCACGGTTTTTTAGTAATAGTAATTAAAAAAAAATACATCTAAGTCTTTACTGTCAGGTCTTGTGACTTGGACTTATGATTATGTAAAAAAATTTTGCAATTTAAATATTACAAGAACATTAAATTTATTTCTATTATCAAATGATAATGCCTTTAAACTCAGATGTCATTCATTGCGCATTTCGCATTTAAGCTACATAATGTACCAAAAAAGATCGAATGCAGTACATGTTTCGAGATCTGCAATTCCGATTATGCAATCCGTAAATTTGACAAGATTGGCTTGTGACTAGGGATGGATCGGTCCTGGTAAGACCGGTCTTAGACTAATGGGTCCTTGCGGTCCTCGGCCATATTCTGAGGACCGGTCCTATACTATTTATAGCATATTAATGTTAATTTTATTTATAATATATTAAAAAATTAGAGTTGGATCGACCCGGTTTTCAACTCTCTTATGGAAATGAACCGCCTATAAGTCGGTCCTTAGACCTGTCCTAATATTTTACTGTAACGATACTGCCGAAATGAAAAATCGGAAATGGAGAAATAAATGAGATCAATAAGGCGCAGTAATCGTTTCGTATGCAATGATTTTATTATTATACTTTTTTATTTATTAAATTTATATTAAATTGATAATTTTATATGTATATTTTTTTCTAATATGTTTAAACCGATCCTTGGAATAATCTTATAAATCGGTCTGGTAAGAAAACAATTTTTGACCGTAGGTAC